ACAAACCAACTAAAGCCCTCCAAAATATCTTAAGCAAACCAAAAGACCCAGTAGCCCAAGAAGAAAAAACGAGTCATCTACAACATACAGTGTAAAGACTGTAACAAACACTATGTGAGACAGACAGGCAGAAGGCTGGCAGAGTGCATCCATGAACACCAACCAGTAGTTAGAAGACTTGATGAAAACTCCTTAATCTCACAACACATGGACAGACTTAACCATAGTTTTAACTGGGATACTCTCTGCATGGTAGACTAAGCTAAAACCAAAAATGCGAGGGAATTCTTGGAAGCATGGTATTCAGACAAGGCAGCAATCAACAGACGCATAGAGATAAACAGCATCTACACACTATTCAAAAGAGACAGTAGAAAAGAAAATGAGAGACCAGAACATTTCCTCACCAGCAATCATCACCCAGATAAGCACAGGTTACCACCAGGCACACAATCAAGCAGTACACAATACCCCAATCAAGGAACTGCCAGAGGAACAAAACAAAACCCCCACCCCCATCAACACTGGCAGGGCGTGCCACAGTGTATAAACAGAGAGCAAACCCCATTTCATTCTAGCACTGAAGATGTTACCTAGCCAGGTAATGAAACGTTTGCAAGAAAAGAACCAAGCTCAGAGAACCCCAAGGACTTCACAAAGCAGTCCAAAGCCTCTTAAAGGAACAGCTTGAACTAGCCAAGGCCATGTACAAAAAAGCAGTAGATGCACATAGGCAAGAGGAAGCTAAAATTGCAGAAGGGGATTTGGTATGGGCTTCTACAAAATTTCTAGCTTCTGCGAAACCTTCCAAGAAACTGGAATCAAAATTTATTGGCCCTTTCCCAGTAATTAAGCAAATTAACCCAGTGGCTTTTCATTTGCAGTTGCTGGCATCAGTGAAGGCTTATCCTGTGTTCCATCAGTCCTTAAAGGAAGCTCTCCCCTGCACTGTGTGTTCATAGACAGCACCCCCCTCTCATTCTAGTAAACAGGGAGGAAGAGTACAAGGTGGAAGCGGTGTTAGGCTCTAGACGCAGAGGGAAGTGCTTGATGCACTGGAAAGGCTACCCAGAGTCAGAAAGATGATGGGAGGCAGCAATGGACGTGCGTGCACCACAATTGGTGCCCCGCTTTCACAAATAGTACCCCAGGAAACCCTGCCCTTGGCAACTATGGCCTTGCAGGAGTCAGGTCCTGGACGAGTAGGAAGAGTTTTTCTATGGGGTGAAGGGGGGCTCAGGAATAGCAAGAGACTGAGTAGGGAGAAATAAATCAGCTCCTTCCACATCAGGCATGCAGGACTGGAGAATGAGAGGCCAACAGATTCCCAAGGGAGAAGTGACTGCCACCTCGACTGGAGCAGATGGTTTACGGGAAGTCTTGTGTGATCTCAGGGAGGTACTGGGAGAAGAGGAGAGCAACACAGCTGCATTTCATTCTCACAGTCCACAGCCTGTTTCCCCTGGGAACTCAGAAAGCGGGGATGAGTCTGAAGGGGAGGGTGATGTGACAGAATGTGAGGCTGGCCTTGGAAGACGGGGGGAAGAAATGCCACCTAGGGAGCGATCAGGTCAAAAAGAAAGGAGTCTGCAACAGAGTAACAGTCAGCGAAAGGAACTTAGGAAGGACCCACCCTAACTACTCAGGCAGTAAATAGGGAGGGCGGGAGATATGTACTTTCAGATTTGCAAAATTCTGTTAATATAGCATTAAAATAAAATAGAATTAGCTAATCTAGTTGTGTTTCCTGTCTGGTTTACTTGGGAGGGCTGGCAAAAACATAAAATCAAAAAGTAATTGTTCCTTTCCCTGCAGCACATATTAGTGCTGAAAAGTACGTTGATCTTCATGTTAGCTATAGTATAGTTAATTCAGGACATCGTGTTTTCTTTGTTTAGATGATTCAGAAAACTGTTAGGTAGTAATTAATAATGGTGTTGTCAGTAATAGGCAAAGGCTAAAATGAATTGACTGAATAGATATAATACTCAGGGATATGAAATCATTAAATTGTGTTTCCTTGTATTTAGCAAATCTTCTCCCTTTAGTTTCTGTTACATAGCATTTTGTGATGAGACATAATTGAGAATTAATGAATTAATTAAAAGTGCAGGGACAGCCAGTTTTATAGTTCCATCTACTCTATTATACTTTAAATAAAAATAATGGAAATGTTAATTCCAACTTGAGATGCATAATTTTAATTAGTTGTTACTACTGTACTGTGAATGAGCAGTGTATGTGCATAAGTGCATAGATCTAAGTAGGATTGCATGTGATAACATTGGTCATTTGCAGGACCGAGTTGGCCCTTTTGCAATTCTTACTTAAGGTGACAGTGTATGAGTAAGCATTTGTATATACTAATTTCAAGAATTATAAGCATTCTAGATATACCTTAAGACAATCCTGGCATTAAACTTGTCAGGTAGCCTTGATCAGTTCTCTTCCTATTGTATAAAGAGAGGTGAGTATGAAAAACAGAGGAAGCCTTGCCTGGATTACAGTCTTCTTGTTGATTTAAATTAAATGTATTTATTTTGTGCAAAATATTGCTCTATTGCTTCCCATACATTTTCATCTGAAGCTGGGTGAATAAGTTGTTGTTTTCACTTGAGAAGCATTACTGGATGGCCTCTTCAAAGATTGTCTTTGCATCCTCCATGTGGAGTGGTGGTTTCAATGTCAGATTAGGACTGGGGGCACTCAGGTTCATCAGATTGAGTGGTCTGATTGAAAGTCACCATCTTTCAGCCTAACCTTCTTTATGGGATTAATGACGGATTAAAATGTAGGAAGACCATGTACATTGTTTTAAGCTCCTATAAAAAAGGAGGGATATCAATGTAATAAAACAAAATGTAACTCCAAAAATTTGTGTCCCTTGAATGTATAGCATGTTGATTAATAACTTCATTGGACTAGATCCAGATTGAAGAGAACTGCTTCTTTGTTTCATAAAAGGCACCACAAATTCTGCTCTAAGCTTTTGATTATTGTTTTCCTTTCCTCTACAATGTCCTGTGTTTTTTTCCAGCCCTCCAAAGCAACTTTCCAAAAGGCACAGAGGTTTACTGTGTAGGAGAAAAGAAAAAGTACAGAGATGACCTCCTTGCCTGCTTTTTCCAGCATGAATAGAAATCCCCTATGTGCTATTTGGGAGCCAGTCCATGTTTAACAAGAGTTGTTATTAAGAAATAGCAAAAGAAGAATCACCATTTCTGATACTTAACAGGGACTTCATGCATAATGGTTTTAATGTAGGCAAATATTTTATTTCTTCCCCTAGGCGATGTTCAGTCTTTGTATGGTTGAAAGTTGTGCAGATGAAGTGAATTTACATGGCATCACAGGAATAGGCTTAAAGCAAGCTCTGGACTTCGCATACACTGGACAGGTATAGTACTACAGTCCTTAATCAGCCTATAAAATTTATATGAACCTTCTTGTTAAATACCTTCACTCATAATATTGAAGAGCTCAGTTGCGATAGGGAAACAATGTAGAGCATGGCTTATGGAATTCCTTCAGACCCCTTAATAATAGCTTTGTTCTAGGTCACATGTGCAGGAAGGATATGTGTGTCTTAGAATGGGAATTGGAAAATTCTGATCCACTGCCCAACTGCCTTGCCCATAAGGATACATACTGGGGGAAAAATCTGGATTTTTTACCTCTATAGCTCCCAACCAAATCCATCTCAATCTTTCTCTTGCTTGCTTCTCCCTTCTCCAATCTTGTTTTAATGTGATTTTAATTATTCCAATGAATATCAGTTGGTGATTTAAAAACCTTCCTTTACTTCTGGAGTAGAGAGGGTGAAGCCTGTGACCATGTGTGGCCCTCAGCCACAAAAATGCATTTCATGGTTGGCATGCTGTTCCTGCCAAACAGCTGATCATTGATTTCTTGACTGAAGGTGAACTTCTAGTTTTCTGCTCCCTTTAAAAGTGGGAAACCAGTTGTTTTGTATAGAATCACTGTGGATTCAAATCCCTTTCCCAATGAAACTAGTAAGCTAAAATCTACAAGGAATGTTGGCACTGGATATTAAGCCTATTGGTTCTAAGTAGAAAAAATATTATTTATGAGTTATATAGATTATAATTGTATAAATATATAAACTATAATTTAGATACTTAGGGAACACAAAGCAATATGGAGGATAAGATCTTTTTTAAAGAAAATTACAGAAATAAAGAAAAACGGTTATGTAGGGATGAGCACAATAAAGGATGAAAGCAAAGTTCTACCAGTAATAGAAGATATAAAGAAAATGGTGTGAAGTTATGGAAGAACTGTTCAAAAGATATCCCCAAATCTATTATTTACATGAAGGCTTGGCTATTTAACTAGTCAGACATTCTAAAGTGAGATTAAATGGGCCCTAGAAAATATTGCTAAGAACAAAGCTGTAGGAGGTGATGAAATAGTGGTGGAACTGTTAAAAATGTTACAAGATGCAGTTAAAGTGCTACTTGTGGGTTATAAGCTGATATGAAAAACACAAAAGTGGGCAAGGGGCTGAAAAGATCAATTTATATTTTTTGTTGTACCCGACCCACAAGCTGCTTTGATTATAGCAGGCTATACATATTATAAAATAAATAAATATTCAAATACCAAAAAAGGGCACTGCTAGAGAATGCTCAAATTACCAAACAATTGCACTTATCTCACACACCCATAAGATAATGCTCTAAGTTCTACAATCCAGACTTCAACAATACGTGGAATATGAACTGCCAGATATATAAGCTGGATTCAGAGGTTAATGGATAGAAAATAGAAAAGGCAAGGTAATTCCTGTAAGAGATCTGTTTTTGTTGCATTACATCAAGGCTTTTGACCTGTTGATCACAACAATCTGTGGATAGTCCTTAAAAACATGGGTATACCAGGCCATCCCATCTGCTTATTGAATAATTTGTATGATGATAGTTGGAATGGAATGTGGACCAGCTAAATGGTTGAAAAGAAAGGAATACCCCAGGGTTGTATATTTCCCCTTTATTTATTTAAAAGCAGAATATATAATGAAGACTGCTGGATTAAAAAGAATAGAAATTGGAATTAATACTGCTGGGAGAAACATCGACAACCTCAGATGAACTGGTATGCCACTTTGATGGGTGGAAGTAAAGAAGACTTAATGAATCTCTTGATAAAGGCAAAAGAAGAGAGTGTAAAAGTAGGTCTGCTGCTGAATAGTAACTCCTCCCCCCGAAACCTCTAATAGTATGTCAATAGGCAATGTCAGCTCAATGAAAATAGACAGAGAAGAAGTTGAAGTTGTAACAGACTTTATCTTCATAGACTCAAAAATTTACAGAGACGTTAATTGTAACCATGAGATAAAGAGACATCTGGGAGAAAGACTACAATAACTCTAGATGGAATATATTCAAATGTCAGGACATCACACTTTGGATTTCTGAACTAAGAATCAGTTAAAGCAACACATTTCCAAATTGGATTCTAAAATGGATTTTGCAGCCTGTGACCATCCTAATATATGAGAAAAGTCTAACAGTTTTGTTTGTTTGCTTTTCCTGCAATGTTTTCCTGAGAGACATACTTTCAAATGATAGAAGTCACAGTTAAAAGCAGTGAGATATTTCTGTGCCTGTTTGATAACTCAAAGCTATTGAAGTACTAATGGTGAAACCCTCAAGGTATTATGCAGGTATAATTCAAAACAGTTGTTAGCAAATGAGTAGTTTTGTGCATTAATCTTCTCCATATTTCTCTGAGAAGTCTTTGGGCTCAGCCATATACTATTTTTGCCCTGGTGCCAAAATGCTTATCATTTGTGAAGGACATGTCCTCTCAATAGACATGACCTTCCATAAGTTTGATATTCCCATTGCAGAAAATGTTATCAGTTCGCAAGCAGCTAGATCATTTATGCGATTGCTCATAATGCTTGTCATGTACAAAGCTGTACTAGAAAGTAAAGCACCCTGAAGAGTTTTAAGGAGAAGCAGGAATAGTGGAGAGCTAGCCAAGATAGACAAATTGATCAGATCAATTTACCGCTTCCTTAAAAGAAAATCTGGATGAAACAAATGAGTGATTGTAAAAGTCTGGTAGAACTTCATTGTCTTGGCTTTATTTGTCTGCACATAAGAGAGTAGGGGCAGATTTCTGGGCTCTTTTTTTTTTCTCGTCCTTCTTCCCTGCTCCTGTAAATCTCCTTGGCTATGCCATTGGTTTATTTACCTCACTGCAAAGACATGGTAAAAAGGCCATTGCCAGTTCAGTGGCAACATACTTTCTTCCTGTCTCCAAGACAGGAAGAAAGCACATTGGTGTATGTGTGTGGAAGATGCCTTAGATGCAGTAAGTTTAGGTCCATTAATACAGCATTATCAAGAGAATTGGATATTTTCTTTCAATTTTCTGTGCCTATTATACCCAGGAGTAATCTCTGTTGTGTCACAATAACACCAACTGAGATTAAAATAATAATGCTTTGTTCACAGCAACAAACCTGGGATTCCTAGCTCTTTGGGGGAAGAGAAAGAGGCTTATTCTCTTCCAATATTAGTTTAGTTTTGCTTGATGAACATAGTTCAGTCCTGTTGATTAATAATTCTTTATGCATGCCAGTTTTCATCAGATTTAACCAGAAGTAAATTTCTCTAAATTTGATGAGACTTGCTAAGGAATTGCTTTATAAGGGCTAGCAGAAATTTCCTGGCATAAATCAAAATAAAGGTCCCTGTTCAGCCTGCTTCTCCAAAGTAGGAAATAATTCATGATATTGATACTTATAGTTGGTACTGTTTATTCATCTGGATACCTGAGAATTTTACTAGAGTGGTGCTGAAACTAAACCTTCCAATCAGAGTAGATTTCTTATTAACAGCAGTGGAGAGGACTGAGTTCCCATATTAGACAATGCCTATATGTGCTTTTACTTTTCCTAGAACCTGTCAGTGATCATGAAGACAGTTCGGCACTTTTCAGAAAGTTTTGGCAAATCATTCTGCTTACTTTCCAATCTTCTGATTCCATTCATTGGATTCATTGTCTCATTTACTGTCCTGCTCCAGATCAGAGGGAAAAAATGTCCTGAACAGAATGCCTAAGTATTTCATGTTTTTACTGAAATTGGAGTAACAAATCAGAGTTCAGTTCCCTTCCCCTTTTTATATGTTAATCTCTGGATGACAGTCCAGTTGAATCCAATAGCTGTGGCATTAAATAGCTTCCCCACCTTCTGTGAAGTCAGACCTTCAAGCATCAAGGTACAAGCTTGCATAAAAGAATAAACCCATTAAGAGCATTCCTTGGACTCATCAGCTTGTTTCCAGCTTTTCTTGGGTAAATAGCCATCATTTGATTTTTTTTAATCATTTGAATTAAAGGTATCATCTTTGATATTAACATTAAACAGTGATTATTTGTGATTGTACAGTTGCAAAGGATTGAAGGCCAGTCAGTCCTCTTTTCTGTTTCATAATCTTCATTGCACCCATTTTTCTACAGATCTGCACCATAGAGACAGTAGCATGATACAGAAGGTACAGTAGTGTCACATTTGAAGGATACACAGATCATTAAACAGCTCAAGATAAGTCAGTCAGTCTACAAGGGAAGGGTAATGTAATCTCAGAAATGTTATACAGTTTCTTTTTACATAATCTTGAGTCTGCATGATGAGTAAAACCTATATACTATTTTTTCACAAAGAGAACATCATTTTTGAGCTCCAAGTTCATACTGCTCAAAATGCATGAGTAGGAACATTCCCTAAAGGTGCAGGCAAAACACGGTAGGATAATGATAAGTGGCTATAGACTGTTGTGATAGTGCTTATTAACTGTCAGGCCATGAAGAAGCACATTAGTCTGGAGCAAGAAGTAAAACTAATCATATAATCTTTTCTTTTTCTTTTTTTTTAAATATAGAAGTAATTTATCTATCTCTGTATTACTTACATACTTTTTAAAAGTCTTAATTATTTTGGAATAAGATATGAGAAAGCATTTTATCTTATCTTACATTAGTTGTTGTTGTTGTTCAGTCGTTAAGTCGTGTCCGACTCTTCGTGACCCCATGAACCAT